TTAATTTTAAGATTAAATCATTATATCTAATGAAGCCTTCTTTGTAAGATTGAACCTTCATAACTCAAAGACGCAACATTGAAATGCAGGAACACTTCACCATCYAGTTAATATTTACTTTATTTAGAATCAGCTCACAGAGAATCAGTGTCAGGCRTYATTTAGGCACTTTAAGTGAATACCTTTGTACTGGCCTTCTCTGGTATGTTATCATGACAAGGTAACAGACAGGAATGTTCACATGTTTTATAAGCATTTCCACAGGTTTGTCTGCATGGTGGGCAGCTGGCAAAGTGACACCGATGAGGCTTAATGATAAAAAATAACATGGCAAATATGAATAATTATTATTTAAAATTGTCTGGTATTTAATATAAGAAACAGCTAAATAAAATTGGYATCTGATATCAGGTATGTATCCTTGTTGGGACCATAATTATTATGTCATTTTACTCAGCACCAATGAAGAAGAATGGCCTAATGATCCATTCCAAATCAAAAGCACCAAACTTTACACTAAGAAAYGATTGTGTGAATATGTAACCACTAAACCTCATCATACATTTCTTTTGTAAAATTTGGAAAGTTTGAGCGACTATATATATCAACTTTCAACAATTTATACTGAAACTTCAATTTTTCCTATAYTTATAATAATAGTTTTGAGAATAGTTTAGGAAATGAGGAAGCCTYTTGTTGTAGGCTTTTGTGCACTTTTTTCCAATATTTTGTTTAACATCTCTATTGTTTTAGCCATGCTGGTGACATCTGAATGAACAGGAGAAAAAATTTTCTTTAATATTGACTATTTCTTCAAAATGCACAAAAAACCTTTAACCAATATTGAAATATTTCATTTCATAATCTCATAGACAGTGTTAATGTTCACTCAATTTGCAATTTCCATCATCCATAAGAAAAAAAGTTGGCACATTCTGGACTGGTTCAACCTCAAAAACATTCATAAGATGTACAAAGAAGTACAACAAAAGGTTTCCAAACCATCCCCCTGTATTGTTTTATTTAAGCCATTCTATTTAATATTGGAAATAATATTCCTTTTCACTAATTGCTTGATTTTGTAAGGCTGAATTTTATGAAATGGCATATAGTTAGTTATTGTAGATGAATTATCATTATGGCTGGATGGAGCTGGATGACCATCTCATGCAAACCCTTAAGTAAATAATTATAACAACATTGATTGACATCCATCAGTTATAGGCCACCCAGCTATTGCTTGAGTGAAACGAAAGAATGAATGCGCAAGCTTTTAGGTCTTTTTTGTTATCAACACCCTCTTAGCAAAATGCGTATTACCTGTAGTGCTAAGTCACGATCCCTTGCCTAGCGGGTCAACACACTGGTCTGTGACAAGGTACGAAACACTGGTCACATGATGGATTGATGTGTGCCCCAGGATTGCCCTTCAGTAGCATTATAAGTTAAAATGAGTTGAGGGCTGTACAATACTGTCGAAGGTCAAATAAGTTTTGACAAGCTTTGCCAGCCACCAGCATCAGCGGGTCACAAAAATCTAAAATTTATAACAGTAAAACTAGTAAAATTAGCATAAGGGGCCGAGTAACTGGGGCGTATAAAAAAGGTGAATTGAAAGAAATTTTGTTCTGACCTTACACCTAGTTATTATTCTGCAATACACTTTTATATGCCCCAGTTACTCAGCCCCATATGCTAATTTTACTAGTTTTATTGTTGTTTTAGATTTTTATGACCTGAGGATACCTGCGTCCAGTGAAAGCTTGTCAAAACTTATTTCGCTTTCGACAGCAGTGTACAGCCCTAAACTCTCATTTTATACTGCTTTTTCTTCTCGTAGAATGAAAACCAAAGACTCATTATTGTAGATAAAATTGTTGTTTACTGTTATCTTTGGAGAAATATGAGCAAAATAGGATTTGTCGCATGACAGCTACCTGGGGCACACATCGATCCATCACGTGACCAGTGTTTCATACCTTGTTATAGACTAGTGTAGACCCACCGCGGGGCAAAGGATCATGATGTAGCACCACAGGTAATCTGCATTTTTGCTAAGAGCGCGCACCGATGAAAAAAAAGACAAAATCTTATGCATTTGTTTTTTCTTTCACTCGAGAAATAGTTGTTAGAAAGCTCATTCTTTTGCTGATATTATGAAGAAAGGACTTTAGGATGTCAATTTTTGAGAGGGAACTTTTTTCTGTATGATTTGGGTAGCAGTTGACTGTGTTGATTACTGATGAGCTTACAAATTAAATTTTTGCCTTTTTGTATGAAATTTGACTCTAATATAACATTTGCTGTAAACTGTAAACTTGACCTCCATTAAACGGTCACCTCTATTAAGCGGACGCAGTCACCCTTTTGACTTTCATTGCTATTTGCCTTTATTAAACGGTCACCTCTTGTAATCAGGATTAATGTCAGCTGAGGGAATGTGAAAAATATTACAAAAACATGAAATGAAAACCATCAGTTTACATTGTAATTCTGTAGTTGCATTAACTAGAGTAGGCGCCAAATTTTTCTTTGTTTAGTTTCTACTTTAGCCAACTACAAGAAAGCTGTCACCCTTAAATTGATATTGCCAATGATGCTAACATAAGCCAAGTTAGCGATTTACTTCGCCAAATAAAGCTTCAAGTGCGAAGACACAGACGACCTTCGACGAATTCTTTCATTAAACTGTACATTAATCTGTGTAATTTATGTAAACTTGTACAGTACTGTATTCTATTCTACTGTACTTACTGTGTACAGTATATTTATTTTATAAGCTAAAATTATCAACCTTGTATTTAGCRTTTATATTCCTTAAAACTACATTATGTGATGAGTTTCATAATTTTTTTACATTTTTGCCACGTAAAAAGCTAAATTTTAGGCAACCTCTATTAAGCGGTCAACCTCAATTAAGTGGTCACTTGGTTTTTCCCGAGGGTGACCAGGTTCGACTGTAGTTTAAGACGATAGGCTGATTTGCAGAAGACTCACGTCAATACACAGTATAATTATATTAATAAATTGTACATTATTTAAGTGTACTTACAATACGCTGTAAATGGTGACAATCAGGTGGAGATCTACAAAATAGGTTCAAAACATGAGCCTTAAAACTGTTCCAAACTAATCCAAAAAAMATTGATTCAAAATTAAAATACTGGTATGACTCTATGGCAGCTATCTAAATCCTCTTTTTAATGAGCAACACAAATGCAAAAAAATAATTTTAACAAAAGTGCAAAAAAATGCTCATRACGTTCTAACTCTTTCTAATGAGYAACACAAATGCAAAAAATTAATTTTACCAAATAAGTGCAAGAAAATGAAAAAAGTTTCACTTCTACATTTTGGGACTTGCCTTGTTTCCATCTCATCTCCCTTAGCTTATTGTGAAATGCACATGTGAGTGTATCATGGGACGGATCACAATAAAATAAAAATTTGTGTTTRCAGCTGCACTGTGAAGGTGCTTGTGTGATTGAGGCTTAAATCCAAATTCTTATTAGTCAGATTGAGGTCAATTTTAGCTGATTAATAAAGCTAAAAGTATTTACCTGCACAACTCATGACACTTGGGTGGTTTAGTAGTTCTCTCTCTTCCACAAGGTAATGTAACAACAGTTTTGCCACAAAAACAAGACACATTTACTGTAAGTGGACAAGGGTAGCACAAACCTGCAAATAAATACTGTCTTATAAACTTTATCAAGCATATACTTGGCCATCGCAAGTTCTTTAAACAATCGGGTCGGAACTTAAATGRGGTATGAAAACAAAATTGTATCCATGTTGGCTGCTCCCAGCTGTTTAACTTAAAACCTTAAAATTGGAAAAACCCTTGTAGGGGAATCCAGAGGAGAATAAACCTTAGAGCAAGGGATAGAGACAGCTTAGAAACTCTTAAAATTAAGAYCTGCCGGGATTAAACTAGAACTTAAGCATTKAAAGACCCACGTGCATCCAAGAACCATTGTCAGTTGATCATTGGTCAGTTAAAAACAATCTGTTATGGAAATCTGCTTTCTAAAGTGGATTTACATGACAGATGTGATTGTTGTGTGTGACTTGTGGCATAAGACTCAAAAGAGCTCCAAGTCATACTAAAATATTATGTAAATACCAGATTACGACTTGCCTACGTCTGATTCCTACAACTCACGATTTGTACTATGGTTTTAAGCCAAGGATCAAAATCCCAAGACTTTCAGTAACTGGAAATACATGTATTATTTTATCCAATCAAATTGCAAATTTAGAAAATCATATGCCACAGTAAGTAGGTCAAATTTRGGTCAGGCTCATCTGCCTGAYTTACTGGAAAATCTTGCAAAGSTTCTCAGATGGACATGCTGGGTCTTCACCACRGTCACTTGATGGACACTCTTGATCTCTTAGATTTTGATTCTCATCAAGAATGTAACTGACTTTTCAGCCCTTGTTGAAAAATGTGTTTGACTTAATTKGTTAGACTTGTTCATGCCTTCTGAAGATGATTGCATAGTGAAAGTTGTAAAAGATGAAATTTACCTTCGTGACAAGGAGAGTTGCATTTGTGGTTTTTACAGTTTAAACTTCTTCCACATATCTGTTCACACGGTGGACATTTRTTATCACAGCACTATAAACACAGGATTCAACAGTCAAAGAGCATAACTTTTAAAAAAGCAAATAAATTCTAAAATTAAAATATTATTACTTACTTTTCTCTTGCATTGGTGTCTGTGACACTGTCTCATGTTGGTACATTTGGATTCACATAGGTATTCATTGCAGCATTGAACATGCTTCTCATATTTACCACAACGACACCTCTTATTAATGAACTGTCGACATGCACCACARGGACCAACATGGCATCTTTGAGTGCAGTTATGACGACCACATTCTAGTTTCTTATTGCAAGTGTCACCGCAAGTAGGGACATCTTCTGTACATGGTAATGACAATTCTGAAAATAAAAGTAAGATCTATGATGGATATATAACCATTTATTTTGTCACAGGTTGAAAGGGACACTGTTTATTTAAGTAGRATTCCCAAGTGGAATCACGATAGAGTTAATTAATTTTTAGTCTATAAGCATTGCAGAGTGTACAGCGAGGAGAGCAGTGTGTAATCTGGACAGTGATAAAACGTACAATTTGGAACAGAAAAGACTCGAGACGAACGTATTAAAGCGTGAAGAACTGAGAAGCAGAAGAAATAGAGAGGAAAGAGTAGAAGGAGCAGAGAGCTAGTGGGAAGACCGTAAAGTTCGGTGAAGACAACCACGTAGTAGCAGTATTTGTGGGCCGAGTGACTGAACTACGGTGGAACACCTTCAAATTTACTGTGGTGTGGGCCGAAGGGCTACGACGACACTGGTTTGGAAAACTTCTTCGCATTCTGAAATACGCAACCTCCTATCATTGGAGCTGTTACAAAACCGACGTGTACGCTGGAAATTGATTACGAACTGCCGGTTAAGGTGCACCAGAGTGTGTGTGTCCATGTTGTGTGTTATACGATTAGAAATTAGTTTCTTAGTAGTTAATATTTTGAGAGTGTGTGAGTCCATGTTGAGAGCTCTATGATTAGAAATTAGATCTTTAATACTTAACATTTGCGAGTGCGTGAGACCATGTTGAGTGCTTTAGAATTAAAACTTAGCCTACCAGTTTCGTAATACAATAAAGTAAAATAAAGACGAAATAATAAAATATATCAATAACTTTCAAGAACATCGCCGTGACATATTTGAACAGTATTCTTATCCAAAGAGTGAAAATGGCTGGAGATGAGCATGACACGAAACCAGTTGATTGAAAATGCAAACAAAAGCTATCATACATCAAACAGTGAAAATTGCTATATTGCAATTGCAAGCTTTCTGAAATACTATGAGCAAAGTCTGATTAGGCAAAGTGAGACTACACAAAGTGCAAAGCTGTCAAAAGCAATCTACATGATCAATGGAAAGAGTTACTCTACTTTAAAGCATTTGATTATTAACAATCTTTTCTAACTTTGTTTAATAAATATTCAAATATTAAACATACTGGATTTGCCGCATGGACATGTTCTTTCACCAGTTCTTGGACAATCACCACACTGACCAGTATGGCA